ACACAAATCTCCCTTCCTCCTCCCCTTCCTCCATCCACTTGATGCTTCACCCCAGCCCCTATTAGCCACCCATTGAATTCAACTCGCCTCCCCCCCCCATCTCCAGATCTCTTCCAGGAGCTCCAAAGAGGAAGAGGAAGGGGAGCCTTTTTGGGGAGAAGCATCACCTGGGTTTGATTTGGAGGATAAATTGGAGTGCTACCTGGATGCCCAGTGGGTGACCTTCGGCAAGTCACACTCTCTCAGCCTCAGAGGGTGGCAATAGCAAACCCAGCAAACCCTGAAAAAAAATCTTGGCAAGAAAACCCCAGGAGGATAGGTTCTCCGCCTTAGTGTCTCCACACGTCGGAAACGACTTGAAGGCACACAACAACAACCACAACCACAACCAACCTTGGAAGGCCTGCCTTTCTGCCCTGCGGAGGAGGGTCCTATGGCTGTTAGTGTGAAGCTTTTCAGAGGACACAATTGTAGTAGCCTTTCCCTTCCTCCTTAACCTCCCTGGCTGCAGCCCATGGGATCCTGCAGGAAGGTACTAGAGCTCTCTGGGTGAGAATTCTAAGTACCTCTCCTGAACCTGCCAATCCCAGGACCCCTTCGGCTGCTGCCATGGCAGTTAAAACGGAATGAAAGCGGTGCAGCCTGAATGCGCCCAGATGTGGCTGATCTGCCCAAGAAGGGAGAGGCTGCTGGAGTTTCTGGCAGGGAACTAGAGAGCAATCGCTCCGTTGCTTTCCAAAATGGTACTTTTTGGGGGGAAAAACCTCGGATTAACTTCTCTGTGTGAAAAGTGCGCCTCTATTTATAAATATGCCTGGGCTTTTTGGGAACCTCAGGAGAGACGCTTCCATTCCTTTGAACTGAACGATCCAGTTCCTTTGCCCTTCGCTTCCCTTCTATAGACAAAGAATGGAGCATAGAAGTAGAACAAAGCTCTAGCCGGAATAATAATAATAATAATAATAATAATAATAATAATAATAATAATAATAATAATAGTAATAGATGATGGGACACCCAGTTCCGAAGATGACAGATGGGGGGAAAAGGAGATGTTAGTGGAATGGTGTTGTTTTTCTTGTTTTAGAAGATAAAAATATATTTATTCAATTAATGTTGTTGTATGCCTTCCAGTCCTTTCCGTCTTATGGAGACCCTAAGGCGAATCTATCCTGGTTTTTTTTTCTTTTTCCCTTGGCAAGATTGGTCCAGGGAAGGTTTGCCATTGCCTTCCCCTGAGGCTGAGAGCGTGTGACTCTGTCCAAGGTCACCCCGTGGGTTTGGGATACTGTGAAAAAGGGCACAACTGGCTGGAACCAATTCCTCCTTTTGTAGCCGGTTGTGCTTTTTCCAGCCTGTTCCCATCAACTCCTGAGCGACAAATCCACAAGCTGTCAGTTTTGTCATTATACTCTTTTTTAGTCATTATTCCTTGCCTTCTCAATGAGGAGACAGACAACATAAAATAAAATAAAATAAAATAAAATTTTAAATAAATAAATAAATAAATTTAAAATAAAATAAAATAAGCCAACCCTTGGCCAATAGTAATTAATGTTAGGCAGGCATTCTGGTTCTGCAATAATTTTCTAGCAGCGCAGAAACAGCTGGTTTCCTGCGAAGTTTTTAATGTGAATTTTAATGGGCCTGTCGTTACAGAGTGTTTGTTTTTTAAATAACTTTTATGTTTATACGGTGTTGGGTTGTTTTTTTTATTATTATTTTTTTTTTTGGCTGATCTTTTTGTATAGTGTTTAATTTGTACTGTTTTTAAGAAGTTGTCAACTGCTCGGAGTCCCACTATGGAAAGGAAAAGGCAGGCTATAAATGATGAAGGAGGCTTGAGTATTGGACTGTGACTCTGGAAACCAGGGTTTGGAACCCCGCTCTGCCATGGAAACCCCCTGGGTGACCTTGGGCAAGTCACACTCTCTCAGCCTCAGAGGAAAGCAAAGCCCCTCTCTGAACAAATCTGGCCAAGAAACCCCCATGATAGGGGTCAGACAATTTGGGGAAAATGGAGAGGCCTCGGATTTCCAAAGGCAGGGGACCTTCCTTGCTCCTGGCCCACCAATCACCAGGAAAGGAAAAGGAGGGCGCCTGCTCAAAATCTTGGAGTCTGAGACAGTGGCACCCACCCAGGCCCCTGCCCTGGTTCAATGCTAGGGAATTCTGGAAACTGTAGTTCTGTGAGATGTTTAGCTTACTCTGCCAGAGAGTTCTGGTGCCACAACAAATTACAATTCCCAGGATTCCCTAGCACTGAGCCCGGGCAGTAAAATAAGTCTCACACTGGAAGTACTTCTCACTGTGTTTTGGACCAGAGGCTACTTTCAAAAGAAGTGAGGGAAGAATTAATCCTATATTGGTCAGTCAGTTTTTGGTGGTTTGCTTGTGGTTCTGATGCTGAGAAGGCGGCCCCATTGAATTCAATGGGGATATTCTGGGTTGCTGTGCTAGGACTGGAATTTCAATCTTAATCAGAATGAAACTAGAATGAAGCTTCCTTGGGACTCCAGTATCTATCTGGCCTAAGAGATCAAGATGCACCCTTTGCGTCCCATACTTTTAAGACCATCTGCACCCCTTTTGAGGTGATGAGACTAGAAGTGAAGAGGTGCAATGGGAGGGAACTGGAGTGGGGAAAAAGTGGGGCTCCAGAGCTTTGAATCCTGTTGGCCAGTATTGAGTAGATCCACAGAATCAATTGCTAAACACTTTGAGTTAAGAAGTAGGTAAATCCCACTGATTCGATAGATCTGCTCTAATAGGGTTAGAGACCTCTTGCCTTTTCTTTTTCTTCCTTGTCCAAGCTTTTTTTTGGGGGGGGGGGTCTTAAAAAAAAGGAATTAGCTGAGCCCTTCTGCCAGATTATTTCTGGGATTTTTTTTGAGAGAGAGCTTTCTTGCAATGGGACCAAATCCATCCAATCTGAAATTCCTCTCCTGAGATGGTTGCTGGTTTGGGGCCCATTTCCTCCAATCCCTCCTTATGTGGAATCCAGCTTCATAGCTGAGCCTGTCAATTGCAAGGCAAAGAAAACAAAGCGGGGTTTATAAAATAATAATTGGATCCAGTTTTATCCATGGCTTTGAGATCATCGCTTTGAGATCTAGTGTGTATAATAAGGAGGGCAGGGAATTAATAATAATAATAATAATAATAATAATAATAATAATATTTTTTTTATTTCTATCCCGCCCCTCTGCAATGCAATCAGAAAGAGGGAAAGACAGTTTTAAAACTTAAAAAAAAAACTTCTTAGAAGTTCTCCCTCAGGTTCGAAATAAACAAGGAAGGCAGATTTAAAACTAAAAAGAAAGAAAGAAAAAGATTTTAGAAATAATCCCTAAGGTTCAATAGTTTAATACCACTTTAATTGTCAGTTTTGTAAGTTTTTAATTGTGCTGTGTGTCTTAGACTTTGGGGCCTAATCTTGGGAGAAAAGGGGAATAAATACAACAACAATAACAACAACAACAACTCAAAATAAACAAGAATGAGGTTTTAAAAAAGAAAATACTTCTTAGAAATAATCCTAAAGTTCAATAGTTTAATGCCATTTTAATTGTCAATTTTGTAAGTTCTTAATTGCGTTGTGTGTTTTTTAGACTGTAAACTGCTTTGGTGCTCAATCTTGGCTGAAAAGTGGGAAAATAATAATAATAATAATAATAATAATAATAATAATAATAATAATAATAAATTCAAAATAAACAAGAAAGGCAGTTTTAAAACTAAAAAAGAAGGTAGGGGCTTTTTAGAAATAACCCCTAAAGTTCAAAATAAATAAGGAAGTTGGCTTTAAAACTAAAAAGAAAAAGAAAAATACTTTTTAGAAATAATCCCTAAGGTTCAATAGTTTAATGCCATTTTCATTGTCAATTTTGTAAGTTCTTAATTATGCGGTGACTGCTTTGGGTCCCAATCTTGTCTGAAAACCGGGATAACAACAACAACAATAATTCAAAATAAGCAAGGAAGGCAGTTTTAAAACTAAAAAAGAAGGGAGGAAACTTCTTAGAAATAACCCCTTAGGTTCAAAATAAAGAAAGAAGGTGGTTTTAAAACAAGAAAGAAAGAAAGACTTCTTAGAAATAATCCCTCAGGTTCAAAATATACAAGGAAGGTGGTTTCAAAAGAAGAAAGAAAGAAAGACTTAGAAACAATCCCTAAGGTTCAAATATACAAGGAAGGTGGTTTTAAAACTAAAAAGAAAGAGAAAGAAAGAAAGAAAG